CGGAGCAGCACATGGCTCTGACAGTTCATTCTTGTTATTTATGGTGGTTATTTCTTTAAAGTCACTGAGAACATCGAACCGGTGAATGAGTGATTGTTGCTTTTAAGGGAAGAGAAGCTTTAATTCCCACAAGCAAGGTCACATTTTCCATAACACACACACACACACACACACACACACACACACACACACACACACACATACACACACACGCCTTTATTATGTGTGTGTGCATGACAACTTGTTTAGTGTATATTTTTTATTATTTCAACCATTAGTACTATAATTTGTGATTAAACAAAGCTTATCCAATATAATTTTTTTCTCCATAAAGCACATTACAGCTTTGAGCACAGTAACTGTAGACAGCATGTTACACAGTAATGTGAAGAAGATTAATTATAGCAGATTTAACCAAGACCACAGATAGATGTAAAAACAAGGGACTAAAAATTGAATGTGTGACACCATATTAACATGGCAAGGTTTTCTCTAGTAGGTACTTAGTGATTACAAAGGGAAATAAAATCACAACTTTACTGAGGGGAAGAAAAAGCATATGGCACCTTAATCCTTGTGGCAATTGTAATAACTACAAAGAAAAAAAAAGTTTACGGAGCTCATGGTCCTGATGGTTCCTATCCAACACCAGGTATCACCATCAATTTGGGTGGCTCATGTTAGAACAAACCTTTCACATCATAAGCTCAGAAGGAGAGAAAGACCAAAAGACGGGATGCTCCAAGGGCAGGTACCACTGTCTCAGCCAGGGCCACTGGGGACCAAGGCTATAGCACATGGACCCTTAGGGGCATTCAAGATCCATGTTAGCACTCAGATAGGGAGAGGTGTGCGTCTCTCCTCTTTAAACCAATGCTGAGCATTGCCATCTGGGGTTGGAGGGCTCCATAGCTATTTTCAACTTAAGATGATAAAATGCTGGTAATTATTCAAATCAAAGCAGATGAAATAGCAAGTAATTGATCTGTTCCAGAAAGCCATCACGTCTTACTCCTTATCAGGGACTTTGTACCGTGCTACTTAGGAATTTTTTTGTGCAAATGCTTGACCTTGTAGTTGAGCTTAATGAGTAGTCTAGCTTGTCTTCTATAAATGCCAGCCTTCCGTAACTGAGTTTTTCTAGCTTCATAATACTTTTTATGGCATGGCATGTTGTATACACACTCTATTATTACAAAACATTAAACAGATTTATCAACAAGTAGTGGTGAAAGAATTATAATTCAGTCTCAGTGAATTTCATTATGTGGAGGAGGAAAAATTGGATGTTTTTCCCCCTGTTAATTGACACACAGAATAACTCTGTGTGTCTCCAGCGCCTCTCATCAGCTAAAGAAACACATACAGCAACAGAAGCCTGTGAACAACTTGTTCACCTGTATGCTTCAAATTTCCTTTATCTCATATGTGATTAATGTTAAAGTATATTAGAAAGGATACTAGTGACCTAGTTATTCTGAGCCAGAGAGGTATAGCTAGACCTGTGTTAGCTGGTGTCCCTTTAAACAATAATTTTGTTAAGTGAGAGAATTAACGATTTTTAACTCTGTCTTTACGTCATTAATTTTTAGTAAGCATTGAAAATATTGAGCTTCTTTGTGACGTGACATTTCCATGCATAGTTCCCACCATACTTTGTCCTCCCTCTCCCTTCTTACTGGCCTCCTCTCCTCTGCCTCCCTCTTACTGCGTCCGTCTAACCTAATAACCCTCCTTTGCTTCCCTGTCACGTAAATCTCATTACCCTTTTTTTGAGCCCATCTCTTGTTTTTATATATCATTGATGTTTTGGAGTTATTTACCTGGTCTCCCTGTGACTGTAGATGTTTATTTGTAAAACAAATCAATAAAAGAAAGTCCCCCCCCCCAAGTTATGACAGTGAGGCAGGTCATAACTCTGTCCCTATAGAGTGGATAGAGTGCTGGTAGTGTATTTGTGACAAGCACCCTTTACAACTGAAGGTTGACTTGTGGGGAGTGGTGGCTCACTTTGTCCCCCAAACCCTTTGACCCCGTAGCTTCAGTTTTAGACCTCACGGTGTTATCGGAGAATCCATATGTTAATGTAACAGATTATTTATTGGATGCTTTCAAAGGCAGCTTATTGTTTGAGCTTTAGAGTCTGTAAGGCTCCCACTTAGGTTGCTGATCATGTAATACACCTAATTCAGAAAAAAGAAGGAACTGTAGATTAAGTTTGCTGTTATTTTGTATTATTAACCGTACTGAGTTGAACATTGTGTGTGTTTATTGAGTCATTCTACACCAGCTAGAAAGGCAGATGGGCAGTGTGGAGTTTAAAATCTGTGAAAGTAGGAAACAGATGGGTGGTTTAAATATCTCAGTGAAAATGTATGTGTGAAGATATGGCGTCTGAAATTAGAAAATAATTCAGAATGAGTAAGGAATTCTAGAGTTAAGGTAAGAAAATAGAAACCACACCCAGTAGTTTAAAGGGGGGATTAAGTGTGGAGTTAGTTGCGTTGACCCATCAGTCAGTACCTAAAAAGTACAAATAAAGAGTGTGAGATTTTACCACAACACCCAGACACTCTTGATAGGTAACTGTTTTCTTGTGAGCATGTAGACTGCGGAAGGGATCTGTTTGACTTGAACTGTGTCTAGATAACTGTACATGCCTTGTAAATTGTGTTGTTAGAATCAAGTTGTTTAATGTCAGGTAAGAGACTAGCGTTTGGACACAGAGTTGAAACGAAAGGGAAAGGCAGCACACGCATGCATTGCAGTGATCGCAGTGGGCACAGGAAGGGCAGCAGCAGGGCCGTCCTGGCCCTGTGCGGCAGCAGCTAGCACATCTCTCTCACTCGGTGGTGGTGCGCCTTAGCCTCTACTCAAGTGGGCAGGTGTAAGCCTTGGGTGGACGTCAGTGTCCTGCAGGACTTGCTCCTGTGGGCGGGAGGGACACATAGTCATTTTGAGAGGTGGAGGTTCAGGGCTGCCTGAAGAGGTGTGTGTGTGTCAAGTGATTGACCTTGGGACCTCCAGTGACCCGTACTTCTGCGAGAAGGATACTCTTACTAGTTAGTATTCATGGATGGGGATGCTGTATATATGCTAGTGTCAGAAAAATATACTCATTGGGATATTAAAAGTCATTCCTAATTAGTATTTAAATGACTTAACTGACAAGTAATACAATTATCTTTCATATTAAGTTGTACTGTTACTAACCTCTGTGCTTGTACTGATTCATGACATAAAATGTCTTACCCTATTGTAGCCAAGTACTACAGAAATCCCCTTTTTGTTTTGTTCTGTGATTTTTGTCAGAATTGAGTGCGCTTTTTTTTTTTTTTTTTTTTTTTGCCCTCCCACCCCTGACTCAGAGTTCTAGGGGGTAACACTTTGTAAGATAATTTCTACAGTTATTAAAATTCTTGTGTGTCAGAACTTGCTATTAGTAAAATAACCCTGTTCACTGTAGGAGAGCTCTGTGGTGGTTCTGGTATTTGGGGGATTCCACATTTGTGGGTCATGGAGACATATTAGTCCACAGGAAGGGTGATTTCCATTTTATTTATGTTTTAGTAGGTCTCTAGATAGTTAATGTGGTCGTTGACTGATTAGTACTTGTATATGAAGTGTCTTGAATCACACCCACTGCCCATTCAGCACTGGCCACCAAGGAAAGCTCTTCTTAGTGAAAATCCTGATCATGGGGCTGCAGAGATGCTCAGGGTTAATGGAAGAGCACTTGCTGCTCTTCTGCTGGCCTGAGCCCTGCTCCCAGCACCCACAGCAGCTGCCTCGCCCCACCCCCACCTTCAGGGGATCTGATGCCCTTCTCCACCTCCATGAGCACCCCAGACATGGCCGCCACACAGACACACACACACACTCTCTCTCTGTCTCTCTCTCTGTCTCTCTGTCTCTCTCTGACTCTCACACAGACACAGTCACACACAGAGACTCACACACACACACAGACACACAGTCTCACACACAGTCTCTTTCTCTCTTTCACACACACATACACACCCAGACACACTGTCACACACACAGACTCACACACAGACACATACAGAGTCACACACACACAGACACACACACAGACAGAACTTAAATAATGTAAGATCTTTTTCTGGGGTAGGATTTTACTTGCAGAACTTCCTTCGAAGAAGGGAAGAATTTACTAAATATTTTATAATATTCTTTAAATTGGTAAGTCACATTTACTCTATTTATATAAAAATCTGACTTACTTAGAATGTATTAATTGATCTATTCATTTATGTTGGCAACATATAAATATTTTTAATATATATAATAATATATAATAATAAAGAACCTCAAGGTTTTGATTCGTGACATTTGTTAGCATCTCCCAGTTATGTCTCACATTATCTGTCTGACTTGTCCAACCCCAGAGAGGTCTTTCTTCATTTTCCTGAACTTTGCTTTCTCTCTTTGCCTACCTCTGCAACATTGCTTATTTTTTCCCAGTATTCTCCCGTATTCCGGTTTACCATGCTCCTCATCAGGGACGCTTTCCAGCACAGAGCCCTTAGCATCCAACGCAGAAGTGTCCAGCTGCTGACATTCATCACAAGGAGGCTGTGCCGTCTCTTGTCCTTGTCGTACTCTCTGCACACACATCTTTTAAGTGTGTTTTCTCCACAAAGCCTCCTGGGATTCCTTGTGTCTATCGAGGTCTTAGACACAGCCTTGAACTTCAATGTCGGCGTGCTTTCCGCTCACATCTTCTCATGTGAGCAGCTGCCCCAGTGTGATGTGGGCGGCTCTGGAGAGGAGAAGGGTCGTGCGTATGCATTTGTGTGTTCTCACTTGGACCAAGCATGTGCTTGCTGAGTGCTGAGCGGTGGTATTTGGCGTAGCACTGTGCACGCAGTACGCAGTCGGCAGAGTTGGCTCCTCCTGGAATGCGGGAAGTCACAGCTGTGCAGACTTCTTACACTGGAGACGAATCTCACCTCTGCTGTCCTCAATGTTTTCTTCAGGGAAGGAGACGGAAAAGGCCAAGGAACGCTATGACAAAGCCACGATGAAGCTCCACGTGCTGCACAATCAGTACGTGTTGGCCCTGAAGGGGGCGCAGCTGCACCAGAGTCAGTACTATGACACCACCCTTCCTCTGCTGCTGGACTCCGTGCAGAAGATGCAAGAAGAAATGATAAAGGCTCTGTAAGAGACATCCCTGCTTATCATGGCACCCCTTCTAAATAAGGGTCAGCGTTTCTCCCGGTTAAACGTTAGAGCTGGAAACTTCGCCAGTACCCACACCACGGGCATCCCAGGCCCGTCGGACTCCCTTGAGTTTTCTTGTGGTGTCCCTTGACCTAGCATTCCCGAGGGATAGGCCTCTACACGCTGTTTTTGTTGCCTACTTTGCTATCCCAGTTAGTGATGTGTTTAAATGAGAAATGGTGGGCTCAGTGAGTACCCGCTTGGACATGTGTATGTGGGCCAAGTTTCTCACCTTTTAAGGAGTTAGTAAGTTGCTTGCATATATATATTGTCCTATATATAGGAGCAGAACATGATGGGTCATATTTGATGGACTTCCTTTATTTTCTCAACATTTTGCAAATCTTTAGATTCAATCTTCTTTCACTGAAAATGTGTGTGGGGATTTATTTTTTTTTTCTGATTCAATTTAAATGTTTTTGTCCCCAACACCATTTTCTATTAAAACAAAGCAATTAGTTGGGTCCATACAGACCTTTATTCCTAGCACTCAGAGACATCAACAGGCACAGGTCTCTGTGAGTTTGAAGCCAGCCTGGTCTATATAATGAGTTCCTGTCTAGCTAGTGGTATATAGTGAAACCCTGTCTCAAAACCCAACCAACCAGCCAAACAGATAAACAAGCAAAGAAAGAGCTGTGGAGTAATTGAGGAAAGTACAAGGGAAGGTTGGAGGTAGTGATTTCGATCCATAAGTAATTATTTTAGATATATGCAGAATGGGCTTATTTGCCCATACTTCCTTTGAAAACAGTAATAACTGGTATTTATAAAGCATAAACTTGAAAGCAGGGATCTTGTCTGTGGCAGAATTCTTTTCCTTTCTCTTTACATGAACAATTTAATTACCTTTGATGAAATTTTTGCTGCAGGAGAAGAAACATGCCACCAAAGTTGAACTAAGATCTATCTGTCTGTCACGCACGCACACACACACACACACACACACGTATATATATATATATATATATATATATATATATGATTTATGTATGTACATATGTATATATACCCCCATCCCCAGCACTAAGAGGAGAGTGGGACCTTTGAGGAGTGTCTTACACTAGAAAGAAACAATGAAATAGGCTTTGGTCAGAACTCTGTGCTGCAGAATCCAGTGCTCCTATAAAACATCGAAGAATAGAAAGTTTTCAATCCTGGCTGTCCCTCCCTTTTGGATTTGTCGGATGCATACTTGAATTGGCAATGATGTGTTTAAACTATTGCACCCTCGAATAACCCTTCATGGTCTATGTATGTGAAGTGAGGTGGTGCACAAAGCCACCACATTTAAACACTGATACTGCATTCTTGTGTTTACTGTTCTGAATCCTTTCTGGGCCTATTTTCCTTGACAAAACATTAAAATGTATGATTTTATTTTTGCTTTCAGAAAAGGTATATTTGATGAATATAGCCAGATAACCAGCCTTGTTACAGAAGAAATAGTGAATGTCCATAAAGAGATTCAGATGTCCGTCGAACAGATAGATCCTAGCACAGAATATAATAATTTCATAGATGTTCACAGGTATGATATTTTCATTCCTTTCAAGCTATTTATGAAGATACTGTTTTTTATAATAGAGTATTACCTTACTAGGACAGAGTTTATTTTAAATAAATTTATCTGCTTTTATTTTTAAAAGGCTGTCTTAAAATTAGTAACTAATTTGTAAAATTATACTTAAGACTCTTAACTGTTGCTCAGATTGTTAGTTGAGGTCACCGTTATAGGTCTCTGGACATGTCTGTAGAGTCAATTTTCCCTTCAAACCTATAATGGCTCCCTCTATTATGGTATCTGTTTTTTCTTTTTTTTTGCTCTCCTCTATTCATCCCCTACTCAATCTTCCTGGTCCCACATGCTCTCCTCTCCTCCCCTTCTCTTTCTCCTAATTCCCTCTCCACTCACTGCCTCCCCTACTCCCCATGTGCTCTGGAGATCTTGTCCCTTCCCCCTTCTGTGAGGGACCTTGTATGAATCTCTTAGGTTCCTCCTTGTGTCCTAGTTCCTCTGGTGGTGTGAATTATAGGCTGGTAATCCTTTGCTCTACGTCTAACAATCCATATATGAGTGAGTACATATCATGTTCCTCTTTTTGTGATTGGGTTACCTCACTTAGGATGGTTTCTTCAAGTTCCATCCATTTGCCTGCGAATTTCAATCTGAGCAACAGTGGACAGCCTACCTTAGATGCCCTTCCCTGATAATGAGATTGATGACTACCTTATATACCATGATAGAGCCCTCATCTAGTAGCTGATGGAAGCAGAAGCAGACACGCACAGCTAAACACTGAGCTGAACTCCTGGAATCCAGTTGCTGAGAGGGAGGAGTGATGAGCAAAGGGTTCAAGACCAAACTACAGAAACTCACAGAGACAGCTGACCTGAACAAGGGGGAGCAAATGGACCCCCAGACTGATAACTGGGAATCTAGCATTGGACAAACTCAGATCCCCTGAATCTATGTCTCAGTTAGAAGGCCTGGGCAGACTAAGGAACCTCTGACAATGGAACCAGGATGTATCCCTGGACCACAATAGGACTTTGGGAGCACATTCGCCATGGAGGGATACTCCCTTAGCCTAGAGGCAGTGGGGAGGGTCTAGACCCTGCTCCAAATGACGTGACAGATTTTGATGACCCCTCCTGGAAGGCCTCACCTCCCTGTGCAGTGGGGGATGGGAGGTGTTGGGGGGAGCATGGGAGATAGGGAGTGGGAACTGCGATTGATATGCAAAATAAAAAATAATAATAAATAAAAAGATACATTTATACAGATAAAAATAATACACACACATACACACACACATATATGTAATAAACAAAGGTTAAAAAAGACTGTTAACTGGCAGGCATGTCATTATTTAAATTCATATTTAACCTATGAAATTGTATTTCCTTGACATTTGACTTTTACATAGTGAATGACACTATGAGCATATGTGTGTATTAATTTTCTGAGGCATCAGTTATTTTCCCTTGCATGCATCTTGTTTTATAGTTTAAAAATTGTGACAGGGATAAACTGGCTTAATGTGTGTGTGTATTCTACAGATGAAGAGACCAAGACTCAGGGTACATGGCTAGATCTTTAATGCCTGGGGTTTTTCTCTGAATTATACTACTGTCTTGATTTTGTTAGCATAATTTAGAATTATATTAAATATTTTGCCTTTGGTATGCACTGAGATAGATGATGGTAGAATATTAATATTGATTAGAATTATTTGGCATATTTTACTAGAACAACAGCTGCTAAAGAACAAGAAATAGAATTTGATACTTCCTTATTAGAAGAAAATGAAAACCTTCAGGCAAATGAGATCATGTGGAATAATTTAACAGCAGACAGTTTGCAAGCAACGTGAGTACTTTACACAGCAGTGTAAAATAAATGTTACCATTGCCTTAGAGTTATTGTACTTCATCAGCTTTAAATCTTCAATGTTTGCAAGGGATGAAAAGTAAAGTTTTTCTTGTGTGTGTGTGTTGTGTGCTACGTATGTGAGGTGTGTGGGCTGCGTGAGTCTTGTCCTGCACTGGAAGCTCACTCATTAGTCTCTGCTGCCTGGGAGTCAGCATGTGGATTCAGGGATCGCTGCCTCCTGCTTTGGGAGGGCGTGAAGCAGTGTCTCGAGGGCTTTTCTGTTTCGAGGGCTTTTCTGTTGGGCACTTGTCATCGTTATTATTAACCCTAGTAATTTTGAAAATCTGATTTTTTGTGTGATGTTGCATTAATTTTGCACTGGTTACCAGTATACTAGAATGATGATTTATTCTTTTAAAAATTTACATACAGTTTTTATTTTGTTCTTAATAGTTCGTGTTAGAGCCATTTTGGCAATGTGAACACCAAATGTGAGAGGTTGGAGTTACTGATATCACAACATTTAGCCTAAAATTTTACTCTTGATTGAATTCTTTTCTCTTGAACAAAGGTATATTCAATTATAAATGATTAAAGTGGCTCTTTTGCCTGGTTGTTTTTGTGTAAACTTTATGGGAGTTTTGAGAGATGGTAAATTTTTTTTAGTACTCTTCAAATATTTAAGGCAATTAAAGGTACTTTGTGAATTGTGAAAACGTGATTAAGACCCTGTATTGTTAAATATTTAAGCCATCTCATGGTTTTCTTCAGGGATTAGAAAGAAACATTTATTGCTAAGCATTATATGTGTTTATCCTTTTGTTGGAATTAAAGGTAGTAAATATTCAATTCTTGTCAGTATTGGAATATTATTTTACTTGTTAAAATTTCTCTCTAATGACCCAGACGAAAGTCTTCATGAATATAATTAATCTTTTATTCAGAAATAGTACAGTGGTACAGATACTCTATTAGGGGAGGATTAGAGGCTTATTCCTTAGGTTGGAGCTGAAATATTTAAAGCTGGCTGCATAGAATTGAGGGAGCTACAGATGCTTTTCTGCCAAACACATGTTCACAGTGAAGCCTTGATAATCGTAGAGGACTGGTTACTGTTGGAAATGAATGTGTGGGTGCCCCTGCATCAGACCTTGAGGGTGTGAAGGCATGGTGTCCCCTCCATTGAAGGGTTTTCCTAACAGTGTGTGCAGCCATCTCACAGGTTTTCATCCCTCTGCCTGGGCCTCTGACTTGATTGGCCACGGGTGTTTTCAGTATAAAGCATGGGCGAGCTTGTCGTTCTTGCCTGGGCTGCTTCTGTCCTCCAGGGGACATTTGACAGCTGAGAACACTGGGGTGGCATCCCATTTCTTAATTCATGTGCTTCGTGCTAAAGAAGGAGTGTCCATTGCGTCTACGTTTTTGTTTTCTCTCTCTGTCCAGCATCTTCATTCATCAGCGTGTTCTGTGGCAGGTTTAAAGTTATATGGTTGATACTCTGAGGAAGTTAGTGCTAAGATTGATCATTTGTTTTAATGAGCAGCAAATAGGATGAAAATATAGACACTGGAATCTAATGTGGTAATATTAAAAATGGCTGCCTGTTAGGAGCTGGTGAGCAGAGATTTTTGTGGGCAAATTATTTGTTTTGTTGGCTTTCAGAGTCGAATGAGCATTAGCAGTGTCCGAGTGGGGATGCAGCCATTTCTAGGAGGGACTGTGTCAGCACAGTCTCTCTGGTCTTTGCCCCCCTTCTCTCCCAGTGTGCCCTGTGCCATGCATGATGGAGCTGTGCTCACCACCATCGGTTGAGTTCTGTGTGTCCGGTTGTGGATTTCTGGAGTGGCCCCACTCCCAGGACTTCACTAGCCCTGGGAAGTGAGGGAGGTCCCTTGGACGGCTTTGGCTGCCGCCAGATGCAATCACCCCACTGTGCACGCTTAGGTCCCGCCAGGTAGGTGATTGTCCTGGAAGATGGACGTTGCATCAGGGTGAAAGGAGATTGCTCCCTGCTCATGGCAGCTTGAATAGTGTTTTCTAGAACCATGGAAGCTAGACTGAAGGAAAGAGGCTTCCAGGTGAGATCCAGCTACAATCAGGAACCTGAGCCCAGTGTCCTTAGTGTGTGGTGTCTTTGGCAGTAGAGGCCCACCCTTACTCATGAGACACTACCAAGAACTACATTGACAACCGTTTTAGGAGTCACTTGGACTATACTGACCAACCATGAGAAAGGAGGTGCTTTTGTCTTTACCTGACAGGCAGAGGGGTTTTGTCAGGTCCCGATTACATGGAAATGCAAGCTCCAGCCATCATTTTCTAACTGTCCTCTGAGACGAGGAGTAGGTAAGGTCTAACTTCTGATGGTAGGTAGCGGGGGTTGTGTTACTCTATGGTTCTTGTTGGAGGACCGTCAGGGAGGGCAGAAGCCACTTACCCAGGAAAGCATGCACACAGAGCTACGAACTGTTCTTGATGTTGGACAGTGTTTAATACTCCCACGTTACATAACTTATCTGATTCAGCTTTTTACTGATGGATGGACATTTAGGTTGTTTTCAGTTGTTTGTATCCAGGTTTTGTGGAGCTTGAAGCTTATAAAATCAGAAAAACATCATTAGCACTACACACTCCAGCATAGTTAGGTGTGGTTCTTATGTGTATGAGCAGGGCCTCAATAAACATGTTTGTATTGTCGTCTTTGTGCACTTATGTATTTATACATAACAATGTCTGTTAGGTAGGGTTTCTCAAGACAGGGTAGTTGTTAAGAGGAGGAATTCAGGACTTATGTTACTTGGCATTAACTGGTATTAATGCCTCTGTGTTTTATCAGCTATATGATGTTTGCTAAAACCCTCACCCTTTCTGTGCCTTAGTTTCCCATGTGGAAATGAAGGTAATAATAATTCATTGTAATGTTCATGTGCATTTAAGTGCATATTAAAGCACTAAAATGTTAATTATGTCACCTGTGATTTTTTTTTCAGCTAGTCATCTGTAGTATTTAACTGGTTTGTTTTATAATATCACATCATTTAAAGATAAAAAGAGTAAGCCATTTAAATTGTTACTGTCTGTCGCGTTTGTACATAAAGCCTATATAATAGCATTGTTGCAAAGAGCACTTGGAAATTAGCAAGTAGCTCTTACATTTGCTATCTCTTTGATATGTAAACTAATTACTAAAATGTATTTTTCCTTTACTTGATTCACTTACTCAGGACTAGTGGTAAGAAAAGGAAAGTGCCTTCTTCAGGTAACTTCATTCTTTTCAGTCATTCTCTGTCTCGCTTTGAAATCTGCCTAGTAAAACTTCAGACCCTTATTTCGTATTTTCCTAGTAAACACGTTTCTGAAGCGAGAACTGTCATCAGTAGAGGGCTGCTTAAGTGAGTGATTGAGAAGAGAAACTAAAGATAGAAGGGGGAAGGGGAAGGCCGTGGGAGTGAGAAAAACAGAGGGCAAAAGGAGACTCGAGTACAGAGCTCCGCCCATCGCCCTCACAGCTCCGCCCATCGCCCTCGAAGCTCCGCCCATCACCCTCGCAGCTCCACCCATCGCCCTCGCAGCTCCGCCCATCGCCCTCGCAGCCTCCTCCCCTACCCTTTGCTGCTCGCTGCTGTGGCCTTTCCCCTGCTGGCCCATTCTGGCTTTTTATTTCTTTGTTTTCTTTTTTATTATCCGAATAGAGTGGCATATTTTCAGCCTAAGTAGTCTGTCACTATTTGATCAGTGTGTAGATGAAGATTTAAACTGAGGTCTTTTATTTGGTTCAAATTCTCAGCGCTACTGCAGACTTTTTCAGGGTCTCATTATTGAATTGTGCTTTCCTGCTCTGATGTAGCGCAGCCAGGACAGGGTCAAGGAGCTGGCTCTTGGCCTTGTGACACAGATGCGGTGGCTAGAAGTGATTGGGCATCTTCTGCGGCTCTGTGAAAGTTACACAAGGCAGAGTTTTATAAACAACAAAGCACTGTATATCTCTTCCGTATGTACAGTTGTTTAATAGTGACTTGAGGCCTTTGAAATACAGGTTTCTTTTTTCTATATTACAAACTTTTTAAAGGTAGTGTTTATTCTTTGACAATTTCATAATTACATAAAATATTCTGATCATAATCACCCTATTTTCCCTTTTATCTCCCTCCTAAATATAGTTTTTTTTCCCTTGAATGATCTCTAATTTAATGTGGTATTACCGACTATATATTGTAGCCATAGTATGAAATTTCCTTTGGGAGGGAATTATAATTTTATTTCTTTGTTTTATGACCTAAAATATGGACTGTTTTAGAAAAGGTCCATGTGCTAATGGAAAGAATGTATATGCTGTAGTTGTTGGGTGGAATATTTTGTACATGTCTGTTTAGTTCATTTAGTACATAATAGAATGTAACTATTTTTGTTTGTTTTGGTATGCATGAGCTGTCTGTTGGTGAGAATGTGGTATTAAAGGATCCACTATTACTGTGTTGGAGCCTAGTGGCTCCTTTATGCACTATATATAGTGTTTGCTTTATAAAACTGAGTGATCAGATTTTCAGTGCATATGTATTTCCCTGTGTATTGTTCCCTTTTTAACTATGTTATAATATTCTTTGTATCTTCTGATCAGCTTGGGCTAAAGTTGATTTTTGTTGCATGTGAGTGCAGCTTGTTTGTGTGATGAGGAATCTGTGTGCTTGTCATACCATTTTCTAAATCCTCACTTTCAGTCTTCATGCTTTTGTTGATAGGGTGAGTTTCTTGCATGCAGCCACCTGTGGTTCTTGTTTTATAATTCATTTAGCCACTCCCTGCCTTTTAATGGAAGAATTGAGTCTATTTAGATTTAGAATTGTTAGTGAAGGGTAATATATTAGTTCCTGTCATCTTTGGACTTCTTTCCAGCTGTTTGGAGCACTGTGCATCTTACAGTTTTTACCATTTACTGAATTGTGTAGGATGCTGTATAGTGCCGTTTTACTGGTGTGGGATTCCTCTGGCTTATGTTTATCTTGGGAAGACTTTACCATTTACTGAATTGTGTAGGATGCTGTATAGTGCCGTTTTACTGGTGTGGGATCCTCTGGCTTATGTTTGTCTTATGTTGTCTTTGTTTTTCCTTTCATCTGTGGGATTGTGGTTGTAGTAACCATGGTTCATTGCATGCACTCCTTCCTGGCCTTTAGAGTTTCCACTGAGAACTCTGCTGTTATGCTAATGGTTTGTGACTGTAAATTACCAGGTGCTTCCCTTCTGGAACTTTTATGGTTTTCACTCTGTTGCGTTTTCTTGGCACCTTAATTATAAGAACCTCAGGGGAGGTTCTTTTCTGGTCACGTCTACTTGAGGTTCTTAAGTGCCTCCTGCACGGGGATGCCCCTGTTTGAAGATTTTGAAAATTTTCCATATTGTTTCACTTCATAGGTTTTTTTTTTATTAGTTTTTGAAAATCTTATAATATGTATCTTGCTATATCAGCACCTCAGCTTCCTTTAACTCCCTCTGGGTTTGTTATGGTATTTCATGAATGTATATGATATTGCAAAGAGTGTGTCTACAGAGAGGGCCTCTGGCTGGTTCCCACTAGTCAGTAGTGTGTGTTTGAGGGGAAGGAAACTGTCCATATTCGATCTCCTGCAGGCTCTGCTTCTCTAGTCATTTGTTGCTCTGTTGTTGCTAAGTGGCGGATGTCTAGGAACAGGACCCTAGGCTCCCTGTGATTGTGGCTTCTTGGAGTTGGATTGTCAGAAGGGGCTGTTGTGTCCTTTATCTGTAGCATCTGGGAAGGTTTGGCTGGGATTAGGTCATGGGTGGAGGGTAAAGATGGCGTGTGGCTCAGCAGCAAAGCCCCCTCCCCAAAGTCTTTGAGGTCTTTGAGGTGCTGGCCTCATCCCCACTGGTGGCCAGAGAGGAAAAAAGCCACAGTGACTATAGGTTCAAGTCAGATACACAAATTCCGTGTGAGCCAAGTAAGAACAACAACTACAGTAACAATTAGAATAGAAAAGAAGCACAAAAATAATAAGATTTTAAAATGTTAAAAATTGGTAAAATAAAGCAAAGGAAGAAACGGAAGAATGATTGGTGAGAAAATATGTCAAAGAGAAAATGAGTTACAAATAAATACAATTAGATAAAAGCAAGAAAAATACTGAACAAAATGAGAGTGTTTGAGAAGTTTTTGTTGTCAAGGTCCTTGGATTAGAGAAGCTTCTGGATTATCTAATAGCTGGAAACTAGTGGGCCTGGCGTGGGGCGGCATGGCAGGCTGCTGTAGTGAGCCCTGATGGCCACCCTGATGGCATGCTGTTGTCGCAAGGTTGGCTGTGTTCACTCACTGCATAGGCTTTTCATATTTGTGCCACAGCTCCCATTATCTCAGATGTGCACGGGCTGGGCAGGCACACTCACTCCAGAGACCCCTAGTTTGGGATGCTCAAGTGAGCGGGGGAGGGAGTGTCGGCTGGGCTCATGTGTAGGGGACTCTGAGAGCCTGAGAGCATGCAGTGGCATTCCTGCCTGGTGTCAGCACTCAGACATGCAAGGTGAAGAACGTGACTTCTTTTGAAGGCAAGCACCCTGACGACTGTTCCCTCTGTGGTTCCCACTGTTGTTGAAACCTGTTGTTAGGTGTGTGACAGAACCTCTCCCAGTTTTACAGGCGTGACTCACGGTGTCCCCCATGTTGTCCCTGCCCCAAGGCAGTGTGGCTCCAGGCACTGTGACTTGTGATTATCTTAAGTGTTTTGATGCCCTGAGGAGTTTGGTTCCTGAGCACCAGAACCTTCTAAAGGTTGCCATACTCTGAGTGATGGTAAACTATACAGGGCTTTCTTCTCTAATGCTACCCTGTAATACAGGGGTCATTTTGGTACTTTAAGACTTGTGGCAAATGTGGGTTTGTCCTCTGCTGGGCTGCAGCCCTCCTTGTCCTCAGGTTACCTGTATTTTCCACCACTTTGTGCAGAAGGCCTTGGGTCCTAAGTCCCTGTGCTGGGCAGCTCTGGGAGGTGATCCCTGTTACCTTCCTGGGGAGGGGCAGACACATCTCCTTCCCAAGAGATATTAAACCCCTGTTGTTGGTTCTTCCTGTTCAGACATCCCTCAGTGTCTTCCTTTGAAAGTCTGAAGTTTTAATATAATAGGTGTGTGTGTGTGTGTGTGTGTGTGTGTGTGTGTGTGTGTGTATGTGTATGTATGTGGTAGAAATATTCAGTTAGGACTGAATCCATTTTATTCACCCATAAATTATTTGGTCCATGGGTACATATTAATTTTGTGTATTGTGAACATAGGGAGTAGTTTATCATCAGTTTCAGTTGCCAAAGTACTGATTCTCACTTTCCTTTAATATAAAATAAATGTAGTAGTATCTATCATAGAGGATTGTTATAAAGAGTAAACAAGGTAATTAATATATGCAAAATATGCTGATTACCACTTATCCTACCAAAATGTAGTTAATTTATAATATATGCAGTGCATTACTTCAGTTCCCTCCAGAACAAACAATGCTAAGGAAGCAGGTATTTCAGTGCCAGAATATTCTAGATGAGAAAGCAGATTCTGTGAGCTGAAGAATTTGAGTCTCAGATAAATGGGTAAAGCCAGAGTGCAAATGTGTGTTAATCTGAAGACCAAAAAGTGTGATCTTTTCATAAAAGCATACTTTTTCCTAGGACATGATACATATTATTGCTTTTTATCTTTCCCGTCCCTTGCCCCAATTTTAAGACCTGTCTGGCTGTGTTCTTGCACACCTATCATCCCTGAGAGACAGTTGCATCTCTGTGTTTGAGGCTTGGCCTACACAGTGAGTTCCAGGACAGCCAGGGCTACAGAAGTCCTGTCTATAAACCAACAAACAAACAGGAATAACGCTGACTATAGACAGTCACTTCCCAGAGCACTAGCCTCCCTTCCAAGCTTACAGACCTTCTTCATAGATACAGGTTTCTGTTATGTGTAGGTTTTTCCCTGCCGGTCTGGATCCACCACCATGCAAGCCCCAAATAGAGAAACATACATACAGACTGACATCTCCCATCAGGTTTCACGCATAGCCCGTCGACTCTCACAGCACATACACTGATGTCTGGTTTCCTGGCCTCTCACTTTGAGGATTGCAGTGCCTTCTGTGACATCCAGTAGAAAGTAGACACATTTCTGTTTAGCATTTGGAACATGGTCAGTGCAACCAAGGAACTGAAATTTCACCTTAAAACAATCACAGGTGGCTGCGGTTTTGGACTTTGAGATTCTGATGTTTGTGTGCTCTCTGGGCATCTGCACACTGGCATATTTAGTGTGTTATTGATAGTGGTGCCCCCTCCTTCCAGGTTGAAGACTTTAGCAGAAGAGCTCTCACAGACACAGCAGATGCTTTTAAGCAAGGAGGAGGCTGTCCTGGAACTAGAGAAGAGGATTGAAGAATCTTCTGAGACCTGTGAAAAGAAGTCTGAGTGAGTAGCAGAAAGATCACCAGAAAGAATACAGGCTAATGGATGCAGTTTTACAGAAATGCTTATTACATGCTGTTGTGGATATGGCTTTCCAGAAATGGGAGTTTTCACCTTAAAATGGTGGGGTTTCATGTAGTTATATCATAGGACTCTGGAAAACTGTTCTTGTAATTCTGTAAAATGTTCGTCTAATGGCTGGTTTCAAGTCAGCTTGATGCAAACTAGAGTCATCTGAGAAAAGAGAACCTCAACTAAGAAAATGCCCCCACCAGGCTGGCCTGTGGGCAAGCCTGATTAGTGATTGCTGTGGGAGGGCCCAGCTCACTGTGGAACTGCTATCCCTGGGCTGCTGAGCCTGGGTGTGATAGGAAAGCAAACTGAGGAGGTCATACAGAGCAAGCCAGTAAGGTGTGCTCCTCTATTGATACAGAGTGCTCCTCTATTGATAAAAAAGAGTGCTCCTCTATTGATAGAGTGCTCCTCTATTGATACGGAGTGCTCCTCTATTGATAAGGAGTGCTCCTCTATTGATACGGTGTGCTCCTCTATTGATAAAGAGTGCTCCTCTATTGATAAGGAGTGCTCCTCTATTGATACGGTGTGCTCCTCTATTGATAAAAGAGTGCCCCTCTATTGATAAAGAGTGCTCCTCTATTGATACAGAGTGCTCCTCTATTGATACGGTGTGCTCCTCTATTGATACTGAGTGCTCCTTTATTGATAAGGAGTGCTTCTCCGTGGCCGCTGCTTCAGCTCCTGCCTCCAGGTTCCTGCCCTGCTTCAGTTCCTGTCCTGACTCCCTCAGTGATGGACTGTTACCAGGAAATGTAATCAAAATAAACCCTTTCTTTCCCAAGTTGATTTAGGTCATCACAGCATTAGACACCCTAACCAAGACAGATATGTCCTAGAAAAGTGCAGTATTCGTAAATGTCCCTCCAAATGTCCTCATGCTTTAACAGTTTGAACTACTTCACAAGGCATTCTTAGTTAAAAGCTGTCCTTATTCTTCAACATCTATTTTTCTTTTTATGAGACTTACTGAAAATCCCTTAGTAAAATAATATGGAGAAGTGTTATCTAGAAATTGGCTGCTATATTAAAAGGCATCAAATAAATTAATTAGAGCGCACTGATCTACTTTGCATATAGAAGTCAGCTTCATGTTTACTTTTTTTTTCTTTCCTGGTGTTTGTCTGGCTGATTTCTGACTTGAAAATATCTTTCTGGATCTTTTGATTTTACTTGTCTTAGTACATTTCTTTTTTTTTTTTTGTAGATGTGTGTACTCGCTCGTGCATGCAGGTATAAGAACCTGAGTTAGATGTGTCTACCTGTTCATGTGTGCAAATATAAGAATGTGTGTTAGTTGTGTGTACTTGCTCATGTGTGCAGGTACAAGAATGTGTGCGTCTGTGCAGAAACCAGAGTTTGATGTCGGATGTCTGCCTCAGTTGCTCTCCACCTTATTTGCAGAGGCGGGGTCTCTCATTGGGCTGGAACTTAATGATTCAACTCAGTTGTCTGGCCACCAACCCCCAGGCATTCTCAACTCCCTGGTAATGGGATTGTGCAGGTGCTTATATTCTGGGCTTTAGAGACCTTTTCAAGTGTAATTTATTCTTTAGTAAAACAGTGCATTTAGAGTATGTTGACACTGGCTGCCTCCTCTTTGGCGCATCTTGCATTGCCTCACCCCCTCCCAGCTTCCTGTGGTCTTGTTCTCTTTCTCTCCCCTCCCACCCACTTGGCGCTGCTGGTATGCACATAGATGGGTGAGGACGACGCCCAGCGGAGGGTGGACAGCCTGCCACACTCACACTGCTGCAGAAGAGGGACTTTCCTTTCTCACACTGGGGTGACACCCCTTCTGCAGGCTGGAATAGTGACTGGCCTGATTGTGGGCAGGTCTTGTGGCGTCAGCCACTGCTGTGGTGAGGTCATGCGCGCGTGCAAAGGACATACGGATGCAGCAGTCTTTCCTGATTTCTGACTTACACGGTTTCCACTCCTTCTTCACAGTGTTCTCTGGGCCTAGTGTAGGAAAGTGTGACCTGGATGAGGACTGAGCACTCATGGTCACACAGCTCTCTGCTTTGACTGGTTGTTTGTATTAAAGATGCTCCTCTGGTGAAGGACAGCAGTTACACTTGTCTGTGAGTTTAAGGTTATTTATTTAGGGGCACTTGAAGTGTGTGCCTCTCCAGTAGACTAATGGTTGTCAGGCCTGTGACCTTACCAGCCACAGGTTCTTGGTCCTGACTGTAGTGGCAGGGATGAACTTCCTTCTGTAAGGCAGGTCTTAGGCTTCATTAGAAAGTCACCGACTCCCTTATGGCATTCATGCTGCTGTTGCACACGTGGGTGTTCTTGTCAGGTCGGCCAGTATTGTAGTTTGCTGTGTCCATAGGTTTTCTCCTTGAACAGCCTGACAGTGTGACCCTGCACTGTCCAACCTACCCAGCAGGAAGGGAGCTTTTAGGTCTGTCTCAGCATGATTCTCCATGCTCTGTGATCACGGTAGGTGATGTGTTTAGCAATAGGGTTGTATTATCAACTTTCAGTGGGGTAACCAAGAACAGTTCCAATAACCTGTTTTTGTGGGTGCTGGGGTTGAACTTAGGTCCTCATGCTGTGTGCCGAACTTTACCAATTGAGCCATCTCCCTAACCCGTTCTCTCTCCCTCCCTCTCCCCCCCTCCCCCTCTATGTATGCCTGTATGTATATATGTGTATGCACATGGAACCAAAGTTTAATGTTGGTTATCATGAATCTCTCCATCTCATTTGTGGGCTGGTTTGTTTGTTTTTTTGGGTCAGGCTCTTGCACTGAACCCCTGAGCCCATCAATTTGGGTATGTTGGCTGACCAGTGAGATCTGGAACCCTCCTAGCTCCTTGCCTCCTCCCACCTAGCAGTGAGGTTACAGATGCACAGTAACATACGTGGATTTATGTGGGTGCTTGGGATTGGAACTTGTGTTCTGGCGCTTGCAAGGAGGACACTGTAACAGCTGCCGCTCTCCAGCTGTGCATTCTCAGGGTGACTGGCTCCCCAGGCCTGACTGCAGTGTATAAGCTTCTCGCTTCCAAACCCTCATCACTGCTTTCGGATCTCAAAGCTCTCAAGGGTTTGTGTTGTGTTAGAGCGCTCTGATCTACACTTGCTCTTATTTTTGGCATAACCTCTCAAATATTTTCTACTTCTGTGACATTTCTTATCTTCCCACTTTATTGTTGTCATCATATGAAACAGGAAATGGCTTTCTCCTTGTCTGGGGAAACCAGATTCCTGCATTTGCACACATTTCCCGTGAGCACCCATCCTTAATGGCCATCTTTGCATTTTACAATAGAGTTCTTACTTGTTCTAAGTCATTTCTTGTAATCTTATAAAGTATTACTATCTTTTGTTTCCCCAGAAAGTTTGTATTACTTTATATATTTTATTTATTTACCTTTCCTTCCTCCCAACAGGGTCCTTATACTCATTTTCCAGTGTTGACCCCAGAACTACCAGTCTTTACCCCCCCACCTCCTCTCCCCCCTTCCCCGCTCTCTGAGGTGCTGGGTACAGGACTCGGCCCACACCCACCAGGCAATGCTGTACTGTCACTCAGTTGTACCTCCGCCACAGAAGCCCTTTTTATCCCTCAGCATCCCCTCATTAGCCCTTTTTATCCCTCAGCATCCCCCCCCCCATTAGCCCTTTTTATCCCTCAGCATCCCCTCATTAGCCCTTTGCCTTCTCCACTGTGGGTGTGAACTCATACTAAGAGTACTTCTCATTCATTTCCTCAATTAACACTTAAATTTCAACCCACATTTATCTAGGTCTTGACCAATTGCTGTAGAAATAAGAATCTCAGAGGTTACCCATATCCTGGAATATACAGCTGTCTTTCTGGACATCTGATTTTGCTTTTGAAATCTGTCCAGATCACCTCTGTTTGTGTTATTCTTGCTAGCTCACTTTGTTAGGCTGGATGCCTCTTCTCTGGGTGGCCTGAAGATGACTTATGCGTATTATTATCACGTTTAACGGCCTACTTGGTATGCCTGTTTGAATGTCGTAGAAGGGCTTATACCTCCCCTGTGCAAAGCTGAATCAATCTTAATGTCCCCTGCGCAGCTTCAGTCCTAGCTGGCTCCGTAGTCTTTATTTAGTGAGTGCCACCACCATTCAGCATCTTCTACCACAGAAAGTGGGCATTTTGATGCCATTTTTGTTTCCACAAATAATGTACAAAAGTTGCTTCCAAATATTTAAATCTTCCCCTAGTGCTTCAGAAGCATTGGGTAGTTTTCTTACCTCTAAACCACACTAGGTCCATCTCTGTGCCTCCCTAGTCACAAAAAAAGGAAGTACAAGCTCGCTCCCAAACCTTCCCCGAGGACGGTTTGGCCCCGGTCTGGGCCGGCTGGCTGTTCTTCTTCGCACTTTCTTCACCATAGAGCGGGAGAGTTTTCTTTTTCCCGGATCAGTTTTTCCGCAGTGTGTTTCTTTTTCCTCCTTAGTACCTCTCCTATTTTTGTTTGTTTGAAAATTTCTCCCTTTGCAGTTCTCGGGGCTGGGCTGCCTTCTCACACGTGCCTGAGGGCGTGTGCCGTTAATGGCCCCGCAACGCGGCTGCTGTCGAGCTGGGGCGTCCAGCAGCCGCATTGGCCTCTAGCAGTTCAACCCGGGGACGTACATGGTACATGCCAGTCCTGTGCCGAGGCCTGTCCAGGCAGGGCACCCTGGAACAGAGGTACCCACAGGTAGGGGTGGAGCCGGCTTCGGACTTTACCCAGCTTCCCGCAGAGGCCCTGCAGGCTAGTAGAACTTTTAGGAGTTAGAAGGGTTAGCGTGGCCGGGCTTTCAGGGGTGAGTCCTAGTGAGCCGGGTCGTGAGTACTTGTTGCTAGCCTCAGCGTACAATATTAAATATGACGTCTATTTATGCTGCCCTCTGCCCTCTCCGTGTGTCCTTGACTGCTATTAACCCACCTCCTTTCCCGCAGACCTGTTTTCTTACCCGAGTGGAGTCATGCTGTGAGTAACTTTCTGGGATTGGCTTCTAAGGCATAGCATCCTTCCTCGGAGTTCCTTCAGACGCTTCCATCCTTTCTCAAGCTGCTGTAGTGAAGTCGGTAAAAGCAGCACGTACTTCCTCTCTCACACTTCTGGGTACCAAAGGTTGAAATATGCCATAAATAAAGGTTCTGGTTAAGGCCATCCTTAAAGGTCATTATAATGTCTGTTTCCCTAATGACTAATGTAGATCGTCCGTTCGGTGTGCCGTTTTGTGATATCTGTCTTCTGTACTGCAATACCTGCCCAACTTTTTCCTATGTTTTAAGTTTCTTCCTGTATTTTTTTTATTATGGTTGGATTAATTTTTATTGTATTTTGAGTTTATAACATAATTGTGTTATTCTCCCTCTCCTTTTATTCCTTCAAAACTCCCCCATACACCCCATCTTACTGTCTTTCAAATTCATGTCGTCTTTTTCCATTGTGTGTGTGTGTGTTTGTGTGTGTGTGTGTGTTCAGGCCTGGTATTTGGTACTGGATAACCACTCGGTGTGCCCTTTTTTAGAGAAGTCTGTTTCACTCACTCTCAACATTCCTTAGTTGCACAGACTTCATTGTTTAGGGTTGAGGTCTGTGGGTTTTCGCTGTGGTTGGCTGTGGTGTCTGTTGTTGTTGTCCTTGTTCAGCTCATGTTGGTGACAATTTATGGACATTATGAGGAGGTACAGTCTCACAGCAAACTCCCCAATCCTTTGCTCTTAAGAGTCGTTCTTTTTACCCTCTTCCTGAATGTTCCCTGAGCTTTAGGAGTCGGAGTATTTTGTAGACATCCATTAATACCGGGCTCCATAACTGCATTTTGATTGGTTGTGGTTTTCTGTAAAAAGAAGTTTCTTTGATGGGGTGAAGGCTGCACTTACCTGTGTGTATAAGGAAAAACATTTGGGATATAGTTAGGGATTCTATTGTTTTAATAAAGTGCTGGTTGTGGGTTCCCTTCCATGACTTCGCTAGCCCAGTGACCAGGTTTCCAGTCCCAGGCATGGTTTCCCTCTTGTTGAGTGATCTTAAGTCCAGTTGGAGGTCTGCCGAGTACTGCCTAGGTGTGCATGCTACTAGTGCACTCAAGATTATTTTGCCATGCTGGGTGTTGGCACAGTTCATTGGCATCATGGCTTGGTAAGACTTGGTCCTACTGCTTTGGAAGCTTGCATGATGCCTTCTGGTACCCTGAAAGCTAGTCCTTGGGGAAAAGGAGTTCAAGTCAGTTCAAACTCAGGGACAGCTGGGCCCTGGGTCTGAAGTGCATGATGTCTTCACTAATAGGAACACTTCACTAATAGAGCAATAATAGCAAAAACTTGTATGTTTTGGGACTCTCCTGGACCACTCTGAGCAATAACTCCAAAGAGGGCTTCTTAGGCCTGATGTTAATGTTTTTGTTAGATGGCCTTCAGCTGTTGGAGAAAGCATTGTCAGCCCAGATATGAAAATTTCATTTAAGCCATACACATATATTCATAGACTTATATGTATTACAGTAATTTTTAGGTAGTTGATAATATGACTTTTTCCAAGATCCTTACCATTATTTTTCCTTCTTGTATAAAATAACATTGTTTTTGTGTTGTGTTAGCCCTCCCCTGGAGTGTGGTTAGTATACGCAGTGAGAATTTATTGGTGAAAAGTGTTCCTTGGCAAACAGGTACCAGTTACAGATAAACCCATATCCTTTTCCCCTCTCTGGGACCCTGTGTGGCTTGAATCTGTGCAGCCCTGTACCTGCTACCACAGCCTGTATGAGTTTGTTCTTCTAAATACACACTGAATTTTCTTTATGTGGCTGTTTGGTTAACATTTACAACATTTTGCTTCTATCACCTCTTACATGTCACTTTATGTTTCATTATTGCAAAGCTTATTTTCTTCCTCCTGCACTGTGCAGTCCCCCTTTTTAGTTACTTTCCTTTTTGTCTTTCTGTTAGTCACTGTGTAAGACTACTGACTCAGCGCTTTTAGAGCATTACTTTTAAATATGTCAGATAATTTCGTGATAAATCATTTTTGAATAATTTTCTGGATGCATATGAAAATGCATTGTGACATCTTACCTGATATATTTCGAATAATTTCTTGTCTTGTTGTTATAGCCATTGTGATTTCTGTGGTACTTTGCTTTTGGTACATGTGTTAGGATGAAACCCCCACAAAGTCTAAAAAGTATAGTGAATGTAATCGTTTCTAGGGTCTCCTGATATTTTTTTTCTCACAAAACTGATTGACTTAGAAATTAGCTTGTTCTGCATGGATTTTCTTTGAATAGAAGTGCCAGTTTATTAAGAAAAAAAAAAAAAAAAGCAATTACCAACTAATACACAAACCAACAAACCAGCATGAATTTACTAAGAAATGTGTACAGATTTTAAAAACAGGTCACAGATTTACTGAACGATGATGATGATGTACATGGTCATTATCACTTATTAAATGCTGCTGTTTAGAGCAGTCTGTCTTTCTTCTATAAATGCTTTTTATTGTTAAGTTCTGTTCCTCCCCAACTTCACATTGTTCTTTGAATTCCTTGAACTGTTACCGAGACAAGCTTTCTTCACTGTGGTTGCTGAGGCTGAGCCCTGCTCAGTTAGATTGGAACTGGGTTCTCACGACAGGAGACACAACTTAAATAGCTCAGTGTGGTTATGTCTCTCTCTGCACTCTGCTATGTTTTGACCTTTTAAGTCAGTTACCTCACTATCTAGTTCTGGAGCGTTTTCTGATTTCTAGCCTGTTGTCTTGTGCACTTACTTTTAAGGTATTAGCACCCTGTTCTTATGGGGTAGGCATTCTTGCCAGCACTTTTCTTTCTTTCTGGTGGCCTTGCTGTGGGGGAATTAGCTTGCAGTTCCCATTGTGGGATCTCTGAGGGCCACCCTCCAAAAGAGGGGTAGGGAAATCTGTTGCCTCCATTTTGTTCATAGGAGAAAGATTTGTAGACTTATGCTCATTCGGTCATGGTCAAAATCTCTGCCATGTTAATTTTCCCTTACTCAAAAGACACACATCACAATATGCCTACAGCTCAGTGCACAGGCTATCTCCTTAATTTTATTGATTTTATCCAAGGAGCATGTCATACTTTAAATGAGTAATTCTTGAGATTTGAAGTTAACTTAATATTTTGCTTTTATGTCAGTTTGTTCAATCTGTTTGGGGCCTGCACGCCGAAACCTAACTCCTGGTAAGGCAGATAGCTTGTGTATATCAGAACATAGGTGCCACAGGCCATAATTTATTTGAAAGTGTTCTGTTGATGACTTATATTCATTTTGTCACTCTTGGCATCCAGTAACCATTGTTATTGAAGTCTGTTTTCATATTTTCTATGATTCTGAAGGAGTGCTATAGAGGGAAATGAAAGTTCACAAAAGTGTGATCTGCACACGTGCGCACCCGCCCCCCCCCCACAGACATACGCACACACAGACATGCACACACAGACATACACACACAGACATGCACACACAGACATGCACACACAGACATGCACACACAGACATGCACACACACACATAGGCACACAGTTTTCCATTAACACGCTTACTTCTCGTTGAACTGAAATAACGTGTGTTTGTTTTATTCTGTTGTAGCATTGTGCTTCTTCTGGGCCAAAAACAGGCACTTGAAGAGTTGAAGCAGTCAGTCCAGCAGCTGAGATGCACTGAGGCAAAGTGTGCAGCGCAAAAAGAATTATTGGAGCAAAAAGTACAAGAGAACGATGGGAAGGAGCCGCCTCCCGTGGTGAACTACGAAGAAGATGCACGATCAGTCACATCAATGGTAAGCTCTCCATCCGCTGGTGCCAGCAGAGTGTCTGGGTAGTAAGTGAGCAAGGAGCTAATTCTGGTTTGCTGTAACAAATTATTGCTCTTGTTGACATGCAGGTCCTATTAAACTTATTTCTAAGGGCAGAATAGACTTACTGTAAGTCACCTCAGGTCACCTGGAGAGCATTTCAGAGGACAGAAAGCGCTTCTCTTGCCTTCAAAGCTGAAAGGACAGACTGCAGTTGTTTTTAATCCTCAGGAGACAGCAGGAAGGTAGGGTATCATTTAAGATAGAAGTAAGAATGAGGAGAAAGCCATTCCTTCACTGTTTCTTCAGAACAGAGAAACTGTTTGCCTTAAGATTGATACTATGTTTACTTGTTTTCACAGTACAAAAAAAAAAAAAAAAAAAGATGTAGCTTAATTTTTTATCCTTAATATGTTGAGATTTAAAGAATTAGAATTTAGTTTAATTTTAGTTTTATTGTCTGCTTAATGCCTAGTATATATCAGTCTATCATCTCCCTCCCTCCCTCCCTATTATACATCTATCTGTCATCTTGGGAATTATTACTAGGGAGCAGTTTTGCTCACGGGGTCATGTGGCAGAGTCTCTAGACTTTTGTGTTACAGTGACCAATGGATACTATCTAGAACCAGTTAAACATCCTAGTATGCCTAGAATGGCCGCTTTATTCATATCCCCAGGGAAAGCTGCCCAGGGCAGGGTTTCAGGAGTGCAGTGTTGTTTTCTCTGGGTGACTCGATGTAGTCCATAGATGGAAATATTATCATGAAAGACTGTAGTCAGCACTTCGGAACTTCTCACACCACGTGGTCTCACATAATATAATGTGTTAAGTAGATATAAATGCCTCCACAGTCACGTGGACATGAATATGAAGTACTTGAATATTATAACCATTGCTTCTGTTAATTGAATTCCTCGATGCTCACATTACTTTCAAATTGTGGTTTCTTCCTCAGTGTCTCCTCTTCTGTCAGGATCTGAGCAAAGGTCCCCGGGTTTCTTTCTTCTCCTTTATGGTTCTTGGGATCTTTTGGACTTACATATTCTTTCAGACGAATTCACATTCCTTTTCTTTATCTTCTCTTTGATTATGATTTATAATGTTTCTTTGGCTGCATATAAGTGTGGAATTGGCTAATTACTTAATGTTTTGACAGTCTCAGTTATAATACTTTTATAACTTATTTTAAGTAACTTTATGTGCATTTAACTTATGATAGTACTAGGATGGTAGAATAAAAAGTAGTTATTCAAGTTGCTGGCTGATTGCTATTCACAATGGATAGCTATAATTTAAAAACCTGGCTTTTAAGAATTTGTGATTCCTTACAGTTTAATCCTTAAGTTATCAAAGATGTTCATTAATTCAATTGAATAAGCAGATTTTCACAGAGAATAGGTAATGGAGCTAGAGAAAGCGTACTGTTCTCTGGCACTGTCAGCCTCTTTTCTTACACCGTTTATATGATTTATAGCTACTGACACTACCTTGCTAGTTTTAAATAATGCTGCTTATTTTATTGTCTTCGATTTTTTTCCGTAATTGAAATAGTAATTGTAAGTATCTCTCATATTGAAACAACGCCTTTAGTGCGTTTTTAATTAAAAATTAAAGGTTTGCCATGTGGTGGTGGCATACATTTGTACTCCCAGTGCTTGAGAGGCGTAGGCAGGGTGATAGCGAGCTGCGAGCATCATGAGTGCGCGAGGAAGCCATGTCAAATCACAGCAAACCAAAATGGCAGCTCAGTAAGGCTTTCATTGAAAGATTTGTCAGGTTTTCAAAAGGAACACTGTGTATTATATGTAGTTAAAAATAATAAGATAATGTTTTATAGATTACTTAAGATACCCCACAAATTGGTGTCCATGAAATGTTTTGCAGTGTTTATGAGAAAGAAATACACCTGATGCATAGTTCTTGTTAATACTCACTTGCATTGGTGATTTTTTGCATTCTGTGGCTTTTGTTTAACTGATATTTGTAATTTTACAGTTTCAGTTTGGTTGAAAATAAAAAAAAAATATATAAGGCATAAATGTTTTTTTTTCTTCCCAAAATGACTGCTTAAGCATTGTTTTATGAATAGCATTATGTTAGACTGTGTGTGAAGGGGAAGGGGCCCGAGAGCCAGGAGGACAAGAAGGGAAATGGAGGAAAAGAAGAGACAATATCATGTTTTCTTTCATGTGCTAGATCCAGATTTCTGTCTGTCATCTTTATCTGTCTACCTACCTGTATGTGTGTGTCCATCTCCCTTCCGTCCTGTAGAGTAGGAGACATTAAAGCAGATGAACACTGACTGGGGGAGGGAAGGGCCAGTGGGAAGGACCAGAAGGGCAGTGGAAGAAGACAGCCCCTTGGGGGACTGAGGACTCACCTGTATTGTCCCTCAGTTCTGGCTCATGGGATGAGAACACTGTATCCTCTGGGTCAGGTTAGGAGTGTGGGCTAGTGTAGGCTCCCCTTACAGACTTCTGCAAACATCACAGTTATTCTGATAATCGGGTAAACATGCGCTGTTGGCTTTACTAAACACCTCTCTCCAGTTATTTATTAACCGCCTAGTAGTAGGACATAGTAAACTTTAGTCCAGTGTCTGTGGAATTGAGGAATTAGGCTTCTTTTCACCCCAGAGTTACCAATTTGTTTTATATTATCAACACTGTGGGCCACATACAAAGGTTTTGATGAAATCTTGAACGTCAGATCTGTGTGTCTAGAGCTGAAGGCAGCCACAGAATTCCTTCCTACTTCTGTGACATGGTTAGCTCTCCTGTAAGCAAACTGGCTTTAACTTCTGAAATTAACATGTTATGTGAAGCCCTTGGTAGACTGAGAGACAGCATGTATTTATCTTCTTTGCATATATTGAGTAGCTGTTCTTAGTTGAACAGCAGTAGTAATAGTCTTGTTATGCTACATTTTTAACCTGTGAAATATCTGATTTTATGAGACTTGCCTGTCATTATGACTCAGTAGTGTCCCTCACAGTAGCGTCTCCTGTTTCAGTCCTATGCTAAGAACAGCCAGCTGCTCTAAAATTAGTCAAGCATATTGATTGTGTTGAGAGTTTTATCATTACCACTGTGAGGTGTGCTTTCTTCATTCTGAGCCTTGCTCACTGGTATACTGAGAAGATTGCCAGGCCAACAATTGCCAGAAGACCCAAGTGGCTTTTCTGTCTGCACTGTAATTCTACTCAGGCCCCTTAAACATCTGAGTTTTCCATTTCATAGAGGGAGTATGTCCTGTGGGAGATTTGGGATACTGAAAGGAGGTAATAAGTATAAATTTTTTCTAGATAGTGAAAACCCTTAAAAAAGAGCCACCACCTGGGGACAAGTGTTTAATTTTATGAGCCATAGGGGACATTTCTCAATAAAACCACCACAGTTCTGTCAGGGTCTTTTCCTGTCATAAGTAGAGACAGCATATAAGCAACTAAGCAAAGAGTATGTTGGTGGGAAATTCTTTGGGGAAAAATGTAGCAGTTAGTGGCAGAAGAGGGGTGTGAATCATGTGTATCTTTGTAGAGAGGTCGAAGAAGACTACCCTGATAAAGTGGCATCTGTACAGAGACCAGAGAGGGTCAAAGGGGACGACTGAGTCTGGATACGGTGACAATGACCAACGCAAAACTGTAGTTGTATTTTGAGAAGTTTAGTTATTGTGAGTCACTAGACTTTCCAAATAGCCAGTTTTCAAGACATTGGTAGTTAATTGTCTTATTTTTCCTCTGTTTGTTTCCTCTTAAAACATGAGGCATAAAGCAGTTGTGGTGAACATCTACTATGCCATCATCTAGGAGGCTGAGACAGAAAAACTGTGAGTGGAAGGCAGGCAGGTCTGGGTTATATAGTAAGGCCCCTTTCACAGGACAGCAGCAACAATAAAGCAAAAGTAAGCAAAAGTAAAAACAAAACAAAACAAAAAACCAAAAACAAAAGATAGGCACATTTGCTATGGAACACTGCCCTTATTCTATAGCAAACTTTGTGGAAGACAAATCATGTTATACAAATTAAAATTCAGTTTTGGAGGACACTATTTTCTTGCAACCTAATCCTTTGTCTCTTGGGTTAAAGAGAAATTAAGAAAGAAGGCAAAGGGAAATGGTCAGGGAAAGAAGGTTGCTAGAGCAAAGAGAGCAAGCTAAATGGTACAGAGGGGAAGGGAGCAGAGAATGCCCAGCCTAGAGGTAACAGAGCATAAAAGAGGCGGCGAAGGGGGGCAAGGGTAGATGGGCTGCAGCCATGCTCTTCATCTCCTTTCCCCACCCTATTCTCCAGCGTCTTGACAGGGCACTGTGGAATGAACTGTTCACTCTGTTACATTGTAACATTGTCAATCTGAAAGTGAAGGTGAGAATTTGCAGACAGTGGGCACTGATTATGCTTACAGTCTCAATTACAGCTATTGGAAGTTATTGAAGGGTTACCCTCTAGGTTTCAAAATTTTGTTTTATGGTTCAGTAAAATCTGCTCCATGGTAACAATTTCTGAATTATATTTTTAAAGTTCAGTCTGTTTGGTTGAAGTTTTAGGTCAAGAGATAAATTACTATTTTAAGAAAATCTGTTTCTGTGGAATTACGCAGTTGATACTGAAGTAATGTTGTATTTCAGAAGTTTTTATTTGGAAGTATTTAATATGATAAATGAAGTGGAAAATATACACAATAATTTAGGACCCTGTCTTAGTTAGCTTTAGTTATCAACTTGATGCAACCCAGGCACATCTAAGAGGAAAGCTCGAGCTGAGGCTTGGCGTACATCAGCTGGGACTGTGCCCGTGTCAGTGTGGGACTGTATTGATCATTACTATACGGTGGTGAACCCAGCCCACTGGGCGGGCAGGCGGGGACTACTGTAGAGTCTCGCTGAGCCCGAGCCTGAGCCTGTGAGCCTGAGCCTGTGAGCCCATCATCAAGCAGCCTCCCTTCATGTTTTCCCTTCAAGTTACCGCTTCCATTCCACCTT